AGTGAGGATTCTAAATGCAGTTCTTTCACACGTATTGTATTAATTTCGCTCCAATGAATGCTGCTAATAGTTCGAGTTTGGGGATGGTGATCGATTTGATAGGAGCAAGACGACACTTAGCGCAGTTGATTGAGACAGCTGCTTCGGATGCAGGGTCATTTTCGTAGCTGCGAGTGTAAATGAGGGCAGCATATGCTTTCTGAGAGGCATGGACGAAGCAGTGAAGTTGTATGTTGTCTTCATTCAAATTTAAAATGATTGATCGTGGTGATTCGAAACTGATGGGAGACCATGACTGGTAGAAGAGATTCCATTGGTTCTGTAGTGATTCGGGTGTGCGATTATTCCAATTTATCTGTTCTTTCCAGAGCTTTTGATGGAAGAGTTTGGCTTGAAGCGTGATTGGTAATAACATTCCTAACGGATCGAATATGGAAGCGATGAATTGAACGATTTGTCTTTTCGTTTCAAGCGAATTTGGAATCGGCTGGATTTCCCAGACGAGAGTGTCTGTTTGTGGCTTCCACGAAACTCCCAATACTTTATACTGGTTATTGGAAAGAGTGCGATCTGCCTCGGGAATAGCTTCGTTGACTGAGTTTCCATTTGATAAAAATTCTCGGAGATTCATTTTCGCCATTGCAAATAACTGCTTTATTTCTTTATAAGCGCTGATAGTTTCAAGTGTGGTATCGAATGTCATGACCATATTGTAGACATTAAGATTTGAGAGGATAGCTTTTGCAAGGGCGGAATTTGAATTGTTGAAATGATAGTGAATTACAGCAGGGAGCAAGTGGAGGCTGCTAATTATGCCAAATGGTACTCTGGTGAAGCGGTACGTAATTGCGTTCTCAGGAGGTTGATTAATGTCATGAAGCCGGAGGAATCCAGTGACACCTCTATGATTTTCATTGAGCCCGATTTGCAAAAAGGCTTTTTCCACATGAGCAATGAGGACCTTTGCTTTTGATCGAAAGCGAAGTAAGATAGCGAAGATTTGCGGTAGCATGACTGAGCCACGATAAAGTTGGTCATTCAGAGAGGGGGCCCTTTTTTGATGAAGCGGAAGCGTCATAGACAATTCTAACCTTGGTTGTGGTTTTCTGTGGAGTCAGCACTGGTTGATGCGGCATATAGTAAGTGAGGTTGTCACTTGCCGAATTGTTGTCGACCACTTCTATGATACCACTGTGATGCTGTTTTTTAATGATGTTGTCGTACTGATGTAGTAACTGTGAGCTGTGCTAAAGACGGCGCCAAGTTGATGATAAACGAATCCACGCGAGATTGAAATTATTGGGTAAGAATTTGATTTGTTTCCAAGGCCAAGAGACGAAGTATCTGCCATCTGGTTCACGACATTGTTTTTTGGAATTGTTGCATAGCATTTTCGTCATCGGTTTAAGTAGTAATTTCATGAATGCCAATTGAGTCGAGCGACCAATATTCGTCAACGTCACATGTGTTGAGAACCGGACAGGTTATCGAGTTCATATGATGTGTTGAGTGATGTCGTCTTACGGTACCTTTTCCGCCCATTATCGGTCCGAAGATTGCGTCAATTAAGTAGAATCCCGTAGGTAATCGAGTTTGTGATGGTTGTACTAGTTCATGGTAGCAGTCAATACCGATGAGTATGTGCGGTTGTTCTCTTTGAATCGATAATTCTGATACATTGCATATGTCGTACTGATCGGTGAGGTTGATATAGTTCAATGGTGTGGTAAGGAAATCGGCGGTTTTGACGCGAAGTGTTTTGTTGTAACCAGTAGATGATGTGACGTTGATATCGACATCTTGGATGGAGAGATATGTTGGTAGCTGACGCGCGAATCCATTTATTGCTAATTGTGAAGATGCGGTGGTTTGTAGTTTGAGTTGTTTAGCAAGTTTGTTGCTGATAAAGGTTTGTTCGTTGCATGAGTCTGACCAGTGTTTGTCGGAACACAGTGCGCAAGACGGTATAGACAAGTTGCGCTGACGCATTGGTTGAGGATCGAAGAATGTCATTGCGAGTGTGTTCAGGTTTGGGTTGATTGGATTCGAAACTTTGATTTTTCAGCAGAAAAGTAGTACCTCTTTGTCGTTCGTAGGGTTCTTGTATATCGAACTGGCGGCGGCTAGTTGCGGAATAATTGT